ATTTAACCCCTTCCCGACCGAGGACGGTTCAGGACCGTCATCGGCATTTTTGCGTTGCCGACCGATGACGGTCCTGAACCGTCCTAACGGTCAGAGCTACTTACCTGATCGCCGTCGTTCCCCCGGCGGCGATCAGCGTGGCTCCGGTTGTGGGGAGACTGTCTGCAGCCCAGACAGTCTCCCCATGGCAGATTAGGACCCCTGTGGCCATGTGATCGCTTAACACAGCGATCACATGGTCACAATAGGTGTCCTAGTGTCTGCCTGCAGGGGGACTGTCTGTGCTGACAGGCAGTCTCCCTGCTAGTGTAAAATCAGAAAAAAAAATAAAGTTAATGTTAATAAAAAAAATAAAAATAATTATATATGTGTATATATGATATATAGACATATATTATATTTATATAATATATGTCTATATATCATATATATATAATGCCATACTAAGTGTATTTTTATATTAATATGTACTTATATTAATATAAAAATACACTTATAATTAAATTACACACGTATATATATAATATATATAATAACTATATATATTGTATATATATATATTATTATAAAATATAAATAAGTAATTTAAATTAAATAAAAATGTTTTTAAATAATAAAAATTTTAAAAAAAATTATATCTATATGAAATTTTATTCTAACTGTATTTTAAAATTAATATATATATTTATATCAAAATACACTTAGCATGAATTTGTATATATATATCTATGTATATATAAATAAATAAAAATAATACAAAATATACATATGTCCATATACAAAATTACATAAATAATTATATAAATATACACGTAGACTTCAAATATATAAATATGCATATATATTTAAATTCTACGTGCGTATTTATGTAATATTTTACATAATTAAGTAATTTTATTGATTGCAATTTGAGGGACCTGCCTGCCAACCCAGGCCGAAAGTCCAGAGAATTTAATTTGCTAGCACTATATTTTACCCTGTAACGTTCTACGACACCCTAAAACCTGTACATGGGGGGTACTGTTTTACTCGAGAGACTTCGCTGAACACAAATATTAGTGATTCAAAACAGTAAAACATATCACAGCGATGATATTGTCAGTGAAAGTTACTTTTTTGCATTTTTCACACACAAACAGCACTTTTACTGATGATATAATTGTTGTGATACGTTTTCCAGTTTTTAAACACTAATATTTGTGTTCAGCGATGTCTCCCGAGTAAAACAGTACCCCCCATGTACAGGTTTTATAGCATTTTAGAAAGTTACAAGGTCAAATATTTGGGTCAAATATTTTTACATTGAAAATGGCCAGGTTGGTTACGTTGCCTTTGAGAGCGTATGGTAGCCCAGGAATGAGAATTACCCCCATGATGGCATACCATTTGCAAAAGAAGACAACCCAAGGTATTGCAAATGGGGTATGTCCAGTCTTTTTAGTAACCACTTGGTCACAAACACTGGCCAAAATTAGCGTTCAATTTAGTTTTTTTACTTTTTTCACACACAAACAAATATGAATGCTTACTTTTGCCAGTGTTTTCGACTAAGTGGCTACTAAAAAAGACTGGACATACCCCATATTGAATACCCTGGGTTGTCTACTTAAAAAAAATATGTACATGTGGGTGTTATTCAGAGATTTATGACAGATAATAGTGTTACAATGTCACTATTGATAAATTTTAAAAATGTATGTTTTGAAACCGCAATATCCTACTTGTACCTATAGCCCTATAACATGCAAAAAAAAGCACGTAAACACTAGGTATTTTTAAACTCAGGACAAAATTTTGAATCTATTTAGCAGTTTTTTTCATTCGCTTTTGTAGATGAGTAAAAGATTTTTCAAGTAAAAGTAAAAAAACATGTATTTTTTTCAATTTTTCATCAGATTTTTGTATTTTTTTTAAATTAAAATACATAAGATTATATAAATAATGGTATGTAAAGAAAGCCCCTTTTGTCCTGAAAAAAACAATATATAATTTGTATGGGAACAGTAAATGAGAAAGCGGAAAATTACAGCCAAACACAAACACCACAAAAGTGTAAAAATATGCCTGGTCGCAAATGTACAACATCGCAAAAACAGTCCAGTCCTTAAGGGCTTAAAATACTTTTTTTTGTAGGACTGAATAGGATGTCATGAAATGCCTTTGAGATTGATCCTAAGTGTTTATCATCTAATCTCTGCCTGGTAGTAATTAGATGGGCAGAAAATGTTGTTGTTTTTTTAGCTTCTAGGACAAGGGTAGGCAACCTTTTAGCACCACTGTGCCGAAATAAGATTGTGATGTCCCGTAGCGTGCCGGACCTATTTTTTTAAATTGAGGTTTGTATGTTGCTGTCTTCTGCTTGTCGTATTTGTACGGCAGTTGCTTTGTATCATTGTATTTGTGCGTATTTGAGCTATTATATTGTATATGTTCACAAGTAGTTTGTGGTATTCTGTATTATACCTATGAATGTGGGCTGTGTATGGGGGCTGCTTGTGGAATAGTGTGTGGATGGAAATGTCACATTGTGTGTTTGGTAGTGTGTGTATGTGAGGGGCTGTTTGGGGTATTGCATGTGAGGTTGTGTGCATGTATGTGGATTGTTAGTAGTGTTGCTTTTGTGCAGATTGTGTGTATGTTTGTTTGTGGGCTGTTCGTATTATTTGTATGAGGGGAGGGTTATTCTGCATTTCTATGTATATCTAGCAGTGTGGGTGGCTTCCCTGGGTTCCAGTGGGGACCAGGCTGGTCTGGTACAGGTCAAGGACAGGAGCTGCAACAGCAGCTGCAGGCTGCTCTACTACAGTGTGGATTCCCATTCACAAGTGCTGGGAGGAAGTGATCTGAGATCACTACCTCTATTTGCTGCAATGCATAAATTGAGGATTATCCTTCACCACCTTTTCGTATTAGCAGATATCTGAAATTTCACTTGGACTCCTGATAGGCCAGAGCCTGTTTAGCTCTAGCAGCCTTAAGTGTCGTGCATGGCACATGTGCCATAGGCTGTCTACCCCTGTTCTAGGACAATCTGGCCACCCAAAGATATAAATCATTATTTAATCGTAGCATACAATGAAGTATCAGATCATATAACTGTCATTTTTCAAGAGATATATTTTAGAGTTATGCAGTTTTTTAAGGAAACTCGCATTTTTGTGGTTTCATATATTTAGTATTCAGCCTAACATTAGCAAAGTGACACTGTACAGTGTCCACCCGGCATGTCTGCATTTGGGTGAGGAGTCATCTAAGTTTTGTAGCACCATTACTATAGTAGCTGCAAGGAGTAATATTTGTAAGTCTTGGCGGTAGAAACTTTTCATATAATACAATACCATAGGATGCTTCAGACAGAGAGAGAGAGGGAAAGAGAGAGAGAATGAGACAGACAGCGACCTACACTCCAAGGCACTACAATGAGGGAATGTATGATATACAACTTGGACCGTTTACAATGCTTTGCACTTATCAGAGTTTGCAAACTCCCCCCATTGGATCAACAGAGGGCTTGGCCACTGCCCCACCGGGCAACCATGGAATGGGGATCAAAGTCTCCCTTTCTGTCTGAAGGTGGGCATGGGAAGTGGTGGCAACACTTGAATAATTACATATAGAGGGCATACAAAATAAAAGGTATTAGAGTTGTCAAATGACAACAAGAAAGAGAGATTGCAACCATTAAGATACAGATTGTCACTCTTTTAGATCACAGGCAGGGAGATTAGCATCTAGGCCAGTTCAGTGCTTCTCATTGAGGTCCTGTGGCATTTTTCAAAGCATTTGCCTTGCTGCGTCAACTGAATCCAGAGCTTCTATGTGAGAATCGTTCATATCTGCTTGGAGCGAGTGCTCAAAGTGAATGGGAAACTACAATTTCATAGCAGTCTGGTTGAGAGTTGGGATGGGGAAGTATATGAGGTTGATAACAGTATGGATTGCTTTTAAAATTGATACAATTATAAAATAATAAAAAATAGAAGTCTTAAGCAAGTTATATCAGCACTTTGATAAAATAGCTAGAGAACACCCACCTGGCTGTCAATCAAGCCAGGGACGATTCCTTCCTATTTCTATTAGCTCCCTCGAGCTAAAGGAAGTGGCCGGCATTCTCTACTTGTGCATGCCTGCATCCCCCTCCCCTGCAGACCTCAAATCAGCATCTTAGCTCCAGACATCAGACCAGACATGTGCACGCAAGTACCAGCCGGTGCCTGCACGGGCACATGCTGGAGAGCACGTGCATGGGAGCACCAAGTCAGAGGCTTCTCAATGAAAGAGTGAAAGTAACTATATAAAAAAAAAAAATTAAAAAAATTCATCATTCAAATGTTTTAACCACTTCTTGCTCCATAGTTCCGCTCCTTGCACGTTTTCCACAAATTAGCAGAGTACCTAGGTTATATGGCAATCAGGGCAGAAATATACAGGGAGTGCAGAATTATTAGGCAAGTTGTATTTTTGAGGATTAATTTTATTATTGAACAACAACCATGTTCTCAATGAACCCAAAAAACTAATTAATATCAAAGCTGAATATTTTTGGAAGTAGTTTTTAGTTTGTTTTTAGTTATAGCTATGTTAGGGGGATATCTGTGTGTGCAGGTGACTATTACTGTGCATAATTATTAGGCAACTTAACAAAAACAAATATATACCCATTTCAATTATTTATTATTACCAGTGAAACCAATATAACATCTCAACATTCACAAATATACATTTGTGACATTCAAAAACAAAACAAAAACAAATCAGTGACCAATATATCCACCTTTCTTTGCAAGGACACTCAAAAGCCTGCCATCCATGGATTCTGTCAGTGTTTTGATCTGTTCACCATCAACATTGCGTGCAGCAGCAACCACAGCCTCCCAGACACTGTTCAGAGAGGTGTACTGTTTTCCCTCCTTGTAAATCTCACATTTGATGATGGACCACAGGTTCTCAATGGGGTTCAGATCAGGTGAACAAGGAGGCCATGTCATTAGATTTTCTTCTTTTATACCCTTTCTTGCCAGCCACGCTGTGGAGTACTTGGACGCGTGTGATGGAGCATTGTCCTGCATGAAAATCATGTTTTTCTTGAAGGATGCAGACTTCTTCCTGTACCACTGCTTGAAGAAGGTGTCTTCCAGGAACTGGCAGTAGGACTGGGAGTTGAGCTTGACTCCATCCTCAACCCGAAAAGGCCCCACAAGCTCATCTTTGATGATACCAGCCCAAACCAGTACTCCACCTCCACCTTGCTGGCGCCTGAGTCGGACTGGAGCTCTCTGCCCTTTACCAATCCAGCCACGGGCCCATCCATCTGGCCCATCAAGACTCACTCTCATTTCATCAGTCCATAAAAAATCAAAAATCAGTCTTGAGATATTTCTTGGCCCAGTCTTGACGTTTCAGCTTGTGTGTCTTGTTCAGTGGTGGTCGTCTTTCAGCCTTTCTTACCTTGGCCATGTCTCTGAGTATTGCACACCTTGTGCTTTTGGGCACTCCAGTGATGTTGCAGCTCTGAAATATGGCCAAACTGGTGGCAAGTGGCATCGTGGCAGCTGCACGCTTGACTTTTCTCAGTTCATGGGCAGTTATTTTGCGCCTTGGTTTTTCCACACGCTTCTTGCGACCCTGTTGACTATTTTGAATGAAACGCTTGATTGTTCGATGATCACGCTTCAGAAGCTTTGCAATTTTAAGAGTGCTGCATCCCTCTGCAAGATATCTCACTATTTTTGACTTTTCTGAGCCTGTCAAGTCCTTCTTTTGACCCATTTTGCCAAAGGAAAGGAAGTTGCCTAATAATTATGCACACCTGATATAGGGTGTTGATGTCATTAGACCACACCCCTTCTCATTACAGAGATGCACATCACCTAATATGCTTAATTGGTAGTAGGCTTTCGAGCCTATACAGCTTGGAGTAAGACAACATGCATAAAGAGGATGATGTGGTCAAAATACTCATTTGCCTAATAATTCTGCACTCCCTGTATTTTGGCACCCCACCACTGGAAAATGAAAGCAACATTTTTAATGATATCCCTCTGCACCGTCTCCATCCCCTTTGTGGTAGTGAAAAAAGATATGCACACACACACATGTTGTTATATTCATGTACATACATACATACATCCATATACACAGACGTTGATATGCATGGACACAGATTCATAAACAAACACACAAAGACACATAAACACAAACACATTCATATACACAGACTCATATACACACTGACTCATGCACACACATTCATGCACACTCAAACATTTATAATTGCATTTAAACACTTCATAGTTATTTTAATAAACAATAAAATAATGTATATATATATATATTTAATTTTAACATCAAGGTCTATCTAGCCTTCCTTTCCTTATTTTGACAAGAAGAGCAAGAGTGGAGCCTCATCCATGGGGTCCAGTATGGTGGATTTGGGAGCAGCCTTTTGCTGCTCTGTTGGGGCTGTGATGATGCCCTATCCCTGCTCCAGGAACAGGACAATAAAGATGAGAGACCAACTATCCTAGTAGCTCGGATCCAACACTGTATTTAGCTCCGAAAGCAACATGCAGGTCGACGGGTGTCTGCTTTGGAGGGAGGTGAGTGGTCTGTGCACCACACTGCCACCGATCACCTGGAGCGAACGGTCCTCTGCCCCCCTTAGAATGCCTCTGCCTCATAACAAGTTCAGTGTCAAACTGAGTTTTCTATTCATTTGCACACACATGCACAATTTTCATTTAAAAGTGCAGAATATTGTCATATAAATGCAGTTTCCATTAATTATCTTCAGCAGAAATTACTGGAGGAGGATCAGATACCCTGCAAAAAAACTGAAAAAGATGCAATTTATTTTGAGCGTTTTTTATTTGATCAACTGGTACTTGTAATACATTTAAGAACATTTATTTTAAATGCATTATGTAAGTAATGTATGCAGATGATGGGTAAATCCATCCAGTAGTGTTTTGTTGTTGTTTTTGTTTTTTTAAAAAGTAGGTCCTTACAGTATAAACATATGACCCCCATTTCCTGCAGCAGTGAATAAGTGCTTTACTTCCCAAAGTCCCCTAATCTCTAATCACTGCAAACTGAACACAGGCAGCTCACTGTTGGTTTCGGAAGAGAAAGAATAAGAGAAATCAGTTTTAAACACCTGTCCAACAGCGTATTAGGGAGCCCAAGGCATTTTCCACTAAGGCAAAGAGTTGATTTTCATAATCGCATTTCTCCCATGTGCTCAGCAATACTTTTGGCAAGAGGAAAGGATAGGACGTTGTAGGAGCTCTGAACATTGGCAGGAAAGGATTGCTGCTCGTTTAACATGACGGTAGATTTATTTTCTATTGCCCAATCACTTAGTGATCTAGTGCCAAGTGAGCAACATGCCTTCTGTCAGTAATGCTGTCTTCCAGTGACCATGGCTTTCAGAAAATGTGAGATTCCCCCATTAATACTATATCGACAATAATCCATCTAATTGGAAATAGTGAGTAGTTAGCCCCCTCCATCCCCCAAAAAACAGAATGTTTTTGATTTGTTATTGTTTTACTAGGTTTTACCAGTTAGATGTGATGATAAATCCAGGAGACAAATAGACATTGATCTGTTGATCATTATGTTCAATCTGATTTAATTATGTACTGGACAAGCAAAATCTTTCGGTGCTGTAGAAAGATATGGTACATTTAATCATACATTATATTAAAAATGTATGTTGTATCTTTTGGAATGAGGCATAATGCCAGTGCAGGCCTCCAACTGTCCCAATTTCATTAAGGCAGTCCTGAGTTAGGGTCTTGCAAGTTCTTAGGGTAGACCCATCCCCTTTACTGAGCAGATACATCCCCTGGGACAGTGCGAGTTATGTGATTCATGTCACAGGGTTTCCAAACAAAAGCACATTCCATTTATCACTGCTACTGGGATCAGTCCTGCTGAAGTGGTGCACAATGGATTACCTTTCTTTGTTGGTGTGTAGGACGTCTTCCAAGATGGCCATCTCCAGGGGTGTCAACCTGAGACAGTAGATGGTAAAGTATAGTCAGTATAAGATCGATACTACAGGAATACTTTAAGCATACCTGCCAAGTTCCCCAGATTTGATTTGTGATCCATGTTCCTCTGTCTAAGATGACTTCTCTATTGTACAACTTCTTGCAACTGACAGAACATACTCACAAATGTTTATTGTATACACTGATCAGCCACAACTTTAAAACCACCTTTCTAAAATCGTTTAGGTCCCCCTCTTGCTGCCAAAACAGCTCTGATGCATCGGGGCATGGACTCCACAAGACCTCTGTCCTGTGGTATCTGGCACCAATACATTAGCAGCAGACCCTTTGTCATGTTCCTCAAACCATTCCTTAACAATTTTTGCAGAGTGCATTATCTTGCTGAAAGAGGCTGTGACGAACCGCCTGGCACCCCGACCGATTGTCTCCACTCCCTGTAGGATACACTGCCGCTGGGGAGAGAGACCGGTTGTCTCCTCTCCCTGTGAGGTAAGCTGACACTGGGGAGGAAGGATGACACCTTCGGCTCCCTGTACTGCACACTGCTGCTGGGGAGTGAGATGATCAATGTAGGAGTTGCCCTCAAAGCAATACGTCATGTTTGCTTGCTCCAAGGCTGTTGGCACCTCTGCTTCCAGGGATGCTGCACGACTGCTAACGTTGCCCTCAATATACTCCACACATTACCGGTGTCTCCAGGATGCTGCTCCTCACACTAGGAACCCACCACTGCCACCAGATGTAACGGACCGCCTGGCACCCGACTGGGTGCCTCCTGCAATTGATGCTTCCTAGCTGGGGCTAAGAACCATAAGCACAGTAGACCCCACAAACCGCCGCAGCTTGGTTGGTGTCTCGCCATTCTCCACCCTCCCTGGACCCAAGACCAGGATCCAGCTTCCAGTGGGTGAACCTCTCCTCCAAGAGAGTATAGCTTTGAATCTCTTACAAGAGCTAGTAGTGATAGCTGTATAGCAGTTCCCTACAATAAGAGACAGAACTCTGTATTAAGGGTGAAGCAAGACTGAATTTTAATGGTGCCACACTGGCCTTTTATGACTCCAACACAAAGACACAGACCAATAGGAACAGTGATTAAATGCACAACACTACCATAACAAACATACAATCCCTCCTCTCTGCCTGGGAGATAATTGAGTCAGATACTGTATCAATTCAATTATCTCCAGGCAGAAAAGACACATATTTCTAAAAAGTCCCCAAAAGTACCCCAAAACACATAATATCCCCAAAAATGTTACATCCCCTGCTAGCCCTGATCTGGGTGACCAACATGTCCAAAAATCACCCAGATCAGCTCAGGGATTCAGGAATTTTTTGGAACTCATTTATTTGACCAACCGCAGGCATGGTCCCATGGCCGAAAATAGTTCCATAGAATCGTGGCTAAGTGCCGCTGGAGGATCGACTGGGAACCACAAGGTTTTCATACCGAAAATAGTTACAGGGCATTTGTGGCTAAGTCCCCCTGAAGTCTATTTGCAGTTTTGGTCCATGCGAACAAGATGGCCGCCACCTCGTGGTCGAATGGCACTTCAAATAGCTTCGGGAGTTCGGAGTGCCGCTTCGAAAGTTCGAATTGTTTCTGTTATAAGTTCCAACAGGCACAAATAGTGTTTTCAACCAGGGTTTAAGGTCGTGAGCAGTCACAGGGTAGGAGGCTGGCAAGTATGCCCCTCCAAGGACGAGGTCCAATTCGTCACAGAGGCCACTGCCATTATGGAACACCATTAGCATGAAGGGGTGTACATGGTCAGCACCAATCTCTAGCAGGGCCAGTGGACCAGTCCGGCCATGATCCATAGGTAGGTTGGTACATGTCAAAGTAACATCAACATGAAACCCAAGGTTTCCCAGCAGAACATTGCCCACAGCATAACACTGCGTTCATCGGACTGTATTCTTCCCATAGTGCATCCTGCTCCCTGCACCCAGCCATCCACCTAATCTAAAAAAAACAAAACGTTACTCATCTGACCAGGCAACCTTCTTCCATTGATCCATGGTTTATTTGGACACTCATGACCCAGATGCTGGTTTACTGGTTATCCTTCTTTGCACCACTTTTGGCAGGTACTAACAACTGCCTTCCGGGAACACCGCACAAAGCTTGTTGTTTAAAGATGCTCTGACCTAGTTGTCTAGCCATAACTATTTGGCCTTTGTCAGTCACTCAGTTCTTTTCGCTTGCCCATTTTTTATGCTTCCAACACATGAAATTCAAGAACTGACTGTTTCCTTGCTTCCTAATATATCCAACCCCTTGACAGGAGCCATTGTAACAATATAATCAATGTGTTTTTCACTTTACCTGTCAGTGTGGATGATCAGTGTATATGTTTATATTGTGCAATTTGATTCTCATTTTTATTTAATATTGGGGCTTTTGAGACTTGCTAAGTTTTAAAACTGAGTTAGAATGTAGCCCATGGAGCAGCACAGCTAAGTGGAAAGGGCCTTGACAACTAGGAGACAGGCATAGGAGGGGTTTAGTGTGGGGGTTTGGCAAAAGAAAGTGGGGTGGAGTTTTG